CTTTAAGATCAAACATTGTTTTGAACTCGAGAAGAGTATTAATCTCACATTGCTGAGGTTATTTACTTTTGTTCTTATTTCTAAAACCAAATAAAAACACTGAGCCTTCTTCACGATCAATTTGGATCTGTGAATCGGTGGTCTACGAGCTAACGTGTCTCCGGCACAGGCAAAGATCCCACATAAGCAGCGACCGATAAACGATCTCTACATGTGTTTCTAGGAGATCTCTTTTTGTTTTCGTTGTAGTGAGAAGTCTTATAAAAAGACTAACTCCTTTGAATCTGTGTAAACGATAAATGTTGTAATAGGTTCAACAATGAAACTGATTTCCGACGCAAACAGTACACACACATGCGCATGCACGCTCATGCACGTGCACGTACGTAGGCTCACACACGCACACACACACTCACGCACGCACACACGCAGGCACGCACACGCGCATGCACGCACGAACACACGCTCGCAAAGAGATACATACATAGAGAAAAATGGTTATGCTTGGTACCAAGCATACTCATTTTACTACATTTTACTTGGTAGTGATGTGGCATGATATGAGCATTTGGATTGGAATAGGTTGAGGAGACGAGTGAGTGAACTATTTTGTAAAAAAACCTCATCTCATTCTCTTTCCCCTCATCTCTCTCCCCCCATCTCATTCTCTCCCCCTTCATTCCCAGAGAAGAAAACTCATTCTCTCCCCCTCTTATCTCATTCTCTCTCCACTCATTCTCAGGATCTGCCCCTCATCGCCACGCGGTACGCCCAGGGGCACCTGGCGCGGGGCGGGTGGGCCTGTCCGGTTACGCGGACCGTGGTCTAGCCCTCCTACGTGCGCCCTGCGTACCACAGCCGCGTCTCCACCATCTGGCGCCGCACTGCCGCTCCCGATCCTTGTTCGAAGCAGCGCCCCGGGTCGTTATCATCCGTTTATTCGACGCGCGGCCTCACCTTCTTTTACCAACAGCCCTACTCGGGACATTCATTCCGCTCGCGTTCCCCCTTGTCTGGCTTCGTACAGCCCCTTCGAGCAGCCGGTTCCACCACGCAGCTCCTTTTACCCCTGGGTCGACAGCCGCCTTGAGTCTTATTCTTCATCCTACCTCGCTCCCTTTCAATCCTCTCGACAGCCCCCTCACACACGTGCTCGCGCTTTCTACCTATCCACAGCCCCCTCGAATCTATTCCACGTGCTCCTCTATCTTCTAATCCTCTCATTCATCATCTCTTCTCCCGCCTTTCGACCCGTCAACACCGCGGATGAGAGAGGAAGAAGAACGAGGATTAAGAACTTGGATGAGAGAGGAAGAAGAATAAGATCTTGTAATTTTAGTTTTCCATTAAATGTTATAATTATAATTTTTGTTTATATCTTTGTAATTCCACTAGCAAATGCAAGTTCCCATTGTAATTTCAACTTATACTTGTAAATTCTGATGTTTTATTTTAATTTTTGTTTATATCTTAGTTTATACTTGATAATCATGGTGTTGGTGTAGATGAATATAAATTCAAATGGACAATTCTGATGTTAGGAATTTATTTTTTGAATTGTATGTGTATAGTGGATTTTTATATGTATGAGTTAAGTTTGTGGTCGTATGAACTAAATGAGCTCTTTCCTTTCTTTCTTTATTTTTTTTTCTTTTTTTGTTTAGTAGAAGATGGGACTAAGTTTGTGGTAGGTTCTTTCTTTTTTTTTCTTTTTTTGTTTAGTAGAAGATGGGACTAAGTTT